CCCCCCCCCGGCCGGGTCAAAGGTGTCCCTCTTTACCAATCTGAAAATCTGGTCACCTTAACCTTTGGCCATCAGCACTTGGGCCCAGCTCTGGCAGAATCTGAGCCACCTCCTAAGCATGGAGCTCCAGGAGTTGATTTCCACCAGGAATGGTCAACCTACGGGAGATGTCTCCTGAGAAGTGTCCGCAGAGTTTCCGTGGTTGCTTCCTTCTCTTTGGGAGCAGTAGCACATATAGTCCCATATTTCAGGTCGGTGTTTGGCATTATTTGCCCACCCCCTCATTTGGATATGTCAACTTTAGAAACTACCCATCTCTCTCTTAGACCAACTCTGGTCGGCGTGCAAGTAAAATATAGAAAGATAAAAGCTATATATAAATATTGCACTGATGCCTTCCACAGAGAAAGAGCACTGGTGTAGAAGCCAAGCAAAATCGGCAATAAACCACAAATGAAGATTTTACTAGGATCCAGGTGGGTGTGGATTCAGGTGTAATTGCCGGCCGAGGAATGCCGTAAAGTCCTGGCCCCATGGCCTGGGGAGGAAATGATTCAGGCTCAGTCAGGCAAGACCAAGAGGCTGAGCTTCTTTTGGGAAGTTCCATCATCCACTCTTAATGGAATCTCAGTGGGAGTTTGATTCAGGCTGAGGTCACTGCCTTTTTTTTCCTTTCCTTTTGTTCTTTGCCCTTTTTTTCTTCTCTTATTTTAAGCAATGCGTTTTTTTTTTAAAAAGGAGGGGAAGCAAGATGAGTGGATGATTTTAGAGAGCTGGATAGATGTCTGCAGACCTAAGAGAAGGCAGTAACTGAAGGCAGCGGGGCCAATTGGGGAGGGGGGAGATAGGGAGCTAATGGGGCAGCAAAGAGAGGAGGAAGAGGATGGGTCGGCTTAATGCTGAGCAGAGGTTGGGCCCATAGAAGGAGGACTCTCTTCTTCCAGGCCAAGGGCTACTGAATGCCAGGCACGTGGCAGCTCAGAAGCATCTGCGGGGGCGAGAATGACAAAATGTGACATTGTGTAGAGGACTGAGGGAATGGCCTTGAAGGGCCGGAGGAAGAGCCGCTACCAAGGCAACAGTCAGTTAAGAGGGGCTGGAGCCCCTGCCGAGAAAATAATGGGAAAAAAGGTCTCCGGCCCCTCCTTAGTTCACAAGAAGATAGAGGCACATTCAGCCTTGCAAATTATCTTGCTATGGTGATTACAATCTCTTCTCTTCTATTTTCTAGTCTAGGTCTAGTCTAATCTATTCATGCTGCCCATCACCCCAACAATGTAACTGACATTTCCTACAGTAAGAGTAATCCTGGCCTATATGGCATTGTTTTCTTAGTCTATCTTATTAGGCTGGGCCCCTTTTAATTAATTAATTAATTGGATTTTTATCCCACTTGTGTTACTTTATAAGTAACTCAAGGCAGTGAACATACCTAATGCTCCTACAAGACCAAACTAGCTGATTGTACAACTGTCGAATGTGGTAACACTGGTATCAAGGCTCTACTTACTAACTGGGGCTTACTCCCTTAATCCCATAGATCCCATATCCCAGGCAATTGAATTGTTGCCTTTGGAATCCATTTTTCTTTCCCAGGCCAATGTATAATTGTATATATACAGTAAGCATAAAATCTGCTCCATCAACCCTTAGACAAGGTAACCATTGTCCACCTGGCTGCACTTAATCTAATTCTTGTAGCTGCTGACCTAGAATGAATAATGACCATCGATCCTCTGGAATATAATGTACAGGGATTAGCTTTCAATCAGATACCAAAACTTAAATTACCTTATTCTGCAATTCTTTAAACCAAATATGCTGTCATCTTATATGTGCGAAAACTTTAAAATGTTGCTTTTGCATCATGACTGTATCTTTGAAAGTGTTCTAAGCATCTTGACTGACCCACAGTGTCCCATGTGCTGTATATTCTCTTACCATTTGCGTCTTTTCAGTTGAATCTCTAATTATGTGATCCCTGGGAAAACTCCAGCTGGCCCTCAAGGAGGGTCGTAAAAGTCAGGACGGCAGCCACAAACAACATACAGTCAAAGACCCACCGACCTGCTTTTTTCCATGTACATGTTTGTAGCCATTGTCTTGTCTTTTTTTGATCCCCACATAGACACCACAATCCCATCTGCTGTCAACAACACGTTGCTCCTGAATGTGCCCCCTCTTGCCCCGTAGCTACTGGGGCAACCTCATCTTCTCTGCTGCTGTTGCCATTAGCCCCAGAGCAGAGGTTGAAGGGCTGCCCCACTTCTTTAGTAAGCACAGGGGCCCCACCACAGAGCCTACACCCTCCCCCCCCCCAATCTCCATGCAAATCACGGCAAGACTTCTTCACCCAATATGCAAATTTCATTGTTTTACGACAGATCGCATCTGAGTGTAGAGTTCAGGGAGCATTTTGCTTAGAAAAGAGAAAGATAAACCACTCACCACTGCCAGGACACTGGGATAGACATGGGGAGGGCTGACAAACCAAACCTGAGACCCCAAAAATACTACAGACAGATGTTCCCCAGGACCAGGAAGAGCAGAAGACCCTCCTCCTGGAAGAGCGGGGCTGCAGGCAGGGGTTCGTCCCTGAATCCACCGGTCTTCAGCGATGTAGGTGGCCTCCCTGGCATGCAAAGCCTCTGCCCAATTTCTGCCAGCCCAGCCCCTCCTGGAACCAAGAGCGCTACCTCCCCTGATTCATGGCCTAAGAATCCCACAATTGTCTTCCTCGGTGCAGGATGAGCTTTCAAAACAGCTGCCCGATTGTTGAGCGGGGTAGCTCAAAGCAGCCACATGACTTGAATCCTGAAAATGCCCCACTGTTCTGCCAGGAGCTGCCACTGGTCCCATTTCAGCTGCTGTCCTCAGCCTGCAAATCCTGGAACAGCTTCGGGTCCATGAATTGTCTTCCTTCATCTCCTGCCAGAAGATCAGCTGGGGGACCAGTCCACCTGGGGCCGGTCTGCAGCCAAGTGGCCCTGAGGGGGGTTCTGGCTGGCTTCAATGCTGGTTCGCTCGTGTGCACGCTTTGTGTGTGCGTGCATTGGATGCATGCTGCAGTTCAATTAAAATTGTTCTATGCATGCACAGAACACAAAAACAAGATGGCGGCAGCAACCAGGTAACCGGTTTGGGGGCATGGCAGGCCTGGGTTGCTGCCAGTTCCAGTGATCCCAGGCCACCAGACCACTACCAGTTGGGCTGAACCGGGTCGAACTGATAGGAAGCCACCTCTGTAGTGGCCGGTCGGAGCCTCCTCAAGAGCAGCTCCCTAACTCTGGCCCTGTTTTCTGGGCTTCCTTTGAGAAAACAGTTGGCGAAAGTCTGTTCCCCCAGATGTTGCTCCAGTGCAAGGTCTCCTTTCAACATGCCCGTTGTTTCCTTTTATTGCTTTTCAAATGAAATCTGCTTTAGTTTTGTGTTTGTCTGTTCTTTTAAAAAGCTCCATCCCCCTCTGGCTTCCCCAGGCCCGCTGGCAGAACCAGGTCTTCAGTGCCTTCCAGAAATGAGGGCCGTTTTAATCTCTGGGGGGGATGATGTTCCAGAGAGAGAGAGCCACCACGGAGAAGGCTCTTCTTCTGGGTCCCACCAGGTGTATCTCCCTCAGGGATGGGACCAGCAGCATTCCCTGCCTCCCAGCTATGATGAGTCGGGTAGATGTGACCAGCAAGAGATGGTCCCTCAGATCACCTGGTCCCCAGCCATAAAGGGCTTTAAAGGTGACAACCAGCACCTTGAATTGCAGCTGGAAGCAAATCGGCAGCCATTGCAGCTCCCGCAAGAGAGGTGATACATGTGCACACCGGGGTCTGCACAAAACCATGTGGCCAGTTGCATTTTGTACCAACTGGAGCTCCCGGATGCTCTTCAAGGGCAGCCCCCTGTAGAGCGCATATGCAATAGTCAAGGCAGGAAGTGACTAGGGCATGAGTGACAGTGAGTAGGGATTGTTGGTCCAGGAAAGGGTGTAACTGGTGCACAACCCACCGTTGTGCAAAGGCCCTCCTAGCCACAACTGCCACCTGCTCTTTGAGCAGGAGTCACAAGTCCACGAGAACCCCCAGATTATGCACAGGGCCTGTTTGGGGGAGTGCCACCCCATCCAGGACCAGAGGTGGCAATTCTCCATGAGCCAATGAACCCCAAACCCAGAGCCACTCAGCCTTGCCAGAGTTTAGTTTCGACCTGTTGCTCCCCATCCAGCCCCTAACAGCCTCCAGGCACTGCGAGAGGAAGGACATGGCATCACTTAACTCACCACAGGCCAAGATATACATAAATACAGCTGAGTATCACCAGCATATTGGTGAAATATTTTTTATTTAAGTATTGCATCATGAACATTTTATTCCTGATTTTTTAAAAACTCTAAGCCACTCTGGCAAGAATTACAACATAATTCTGCTCCATCTCATTTTTTTCTCAAGTAGAGATCTGTGGCTTGCTTGGGCTTCTCATTGCTCTGAAAAAAGAACAGTTTGTGGGTTTGTTGACAAATACACAGATTGAATAACTTGCAACAGAAGTTAACCTAAGCACCTTCACATCCATTTCCAAGATATTTTCTCCCCTTCAATGTTTTTTTTGTTGAAGAAGCCAGATCTCCGTTCAGCTGTTTGTCTCTGGAAGTAAAACTTGCAGATTAACTTTTGCTCCTTTTCACAAAAGGTCAGAGGCCTGGCCTACATCCAAAAGAGTTAGGTAGTGTGGAATCACCATAATTAATCCGCTCACATTAAATGGGAAAGTCTTCAAAACATTGTCAGCCAGCTGGAATATTCTTATATTTTCCTGGCACTGTTTCCATCTTTCTAGGATCTTTGAGCTCTACGGAAGAGCAGCACAAGATCCAAAAGCATAAATGTTATTAGCAGGATCCCCTGCATTCCATGTAGCCTTTGAGAGGATCACTTTTGTCAACTACTTAATTGTCATTTGATCTACCAGTTGTTCATCATCATATAACTTCAACCAATTTAATGTAAGAGCTGGAAAAATGTCTCAGGGAATAATTTATTATATGTGGTTATACAGAAAGTTTGAACATCCTTGCATTGATTGAATGGAGAAATCTCCTGAAAATTAAATCACAAGCTGTATATCTAATTAAGTCCCGCAGCCTTAACAAGAAATATGTTCAAAGCCAAGTCTATACAAACCAGCATAAATAGTATCAAGGAATATGAACTGATTTAATCAAAAAAAGGCTTACCCTTTTGTCCAAATTCCTAAAGTTTATTACAGAATTCAGTTCCAAAACACCTTTTTGAAAGAGCCCCCAATATTTTTCTTGCTAATCAACTATGAGAATAACTGAGCTGTCAGATTTTTCCTCCAGCATCCGGAAGTGGGGTTTGCCCTCTTGTGAATTCAGGTTTTCCCTCCACCTATTAGATTCGTCCTCAACAATGTTAGTGACTTCCCCGATGCTTTAACTTCCTGCTTGGTAAATACAGGACCATAATAATCGTCTGGAAGGCATCTGATTAGTCTATTCAGGACACTGAATCCTGAGTTTTAATTTTCCTGTTTGGAAGTTAGTCACGCCTCATTAGAAACCCAAAACTTCAAATAGCTGGCAGGAGGTAGACCTGACCACACTGTGAGATCTCAAAGAATCTCCCTAGATGTCCTCAGGACCTGGCTATATTTGAGCCACAAACAAGAGGTCAACCTATTGATAGAACAACAAGCAATGGATGGAAACTAATCAAGAAGAGAACCAATCTACAAATGAGAAATTTCCTGACAATCAGAACAATTAATTAATGGAACGGCTTGTCTTCAGAAGTAGTGGGTGCTCCACAGAGGTGGGTTCCTACCAGTTCGCACCTATTCGGTAGAACCGGTTCGTCAAATCTACCGAACCAGTTAGAAGAGTTTTGACCAGTGGACCCGGAAAGCAGGCCACACCTACAGAAGAGGTTCCAAATTTTTTTGAAACCCACCACTGGTGCTCCATCACTGGAGGTTTTCAAGAAAAGACTGGACAGCCATTTGTCCAGGATGGTATAAGGTCTCCTATTTGAACGGGGTTGGACTAGAAGACCTCCAAGGTACCTTCCAACTCTGTTATTTTGTTATTTGGAATGCATTTTGGGCAACCATTATCCCCTTCGGCAGTCTGTTCCGTTCTTTTTTTAAAAAATCTTTTTATTAAACATTCTTGAAAAAAATCCACAAACTTTTACAAGTGTTTAGTTCCCACCTCCCCCCGCAACCCCCCCCAACCTTCCCCCTCCCCCCGGCTTCCCAGAACCAATACAGGGTATAAATCTTTAGCAAAGAGAATCTAAGGTACAGTTTAAGAAAAAAAACCCAAAAAGGTGGTGCACAATGTA